ACCTTAACCCTTTGCGCCACCAGGGAGAGCCTGCAAAATAACATTTTTTAAAAAATAAAAATAGATACATTTAATCCTTTAAAAAAAACCACTATATTAAAAAATATAAAAATATGTCTATATTTTTCTTAGAAGTCTATTTAACTGGGAGCAAGAAGTGAAGGAGGAGACAAAGACAAGGAAGTGTAGTCCAGGACAACTCCTGGAACACTAAATGCTAAAATGCAGGTAAGAATCAACAACAAAATACTTTTGGTAGGCTAATTACAGTGACCATACCTAAGAGGAGAAATCACATATTGTCCAAAAATTTACAATGTAAGAAACAAGCACAACATTTAAAAAGTAAAACAAACAAACAAAAACAACAGTACTTGGACAAGGCCTCCTCTCAGACTATCTGATGGTGAATTAGCCATAGATGGCTGAAAATGCTTTATCCCTAACAATAAACCTTTATGCTCCAGGGCTGATCTATAAATACAGGAGCTAAATGGGATCAGGAACTAGACACAAAGAGAATGAATTTCAGAAATACTAAAACTTAGGGGGTTTGATCCTGGAAGTGATATTTTTCTGAGCTCGGGAACAAAGATAAGAACATCCCCCACTGCACAAATTCTGCTATGAAGCTGATGCAAACCTCTTCTATTGCTATCAGTAGAGGGAAATGCGAACCATTAACTGTAGATTATGAAACAGACCCGTGTTAATATTGCCCAAATGATAGTGACATCAAACTCTGGTTCCTGAAAATAGGAAGGTCAGTATCCACACACAGAAAGAAAGGAGAGCATGTCAATGTTATTTCTTACTGTCTTGATTTCTAACCTAATAAGGGTTCAAGACAGAAACAAAAATGTGTTGAAAAGGACAAGAACAGTCATGGATGAGGAAAAAGAGCCAGGAAGACTGAACAGGAAAGCCCACCTGCTGATGACCCTCCACCACGCCATAACTAAAGGACTGCCTTGACTTGGTGGCCTTTTAGTTACTGGGACCAGCAGCTCAGAACTGAAAACAATGCACCAGATGCTATGCTGCTTTATTTGAGGTTTATGCCCAAGTCTTCCCTTCACCAAGTTCAAAGGGGTTTATGATGAAAAGCAATTGTGTCTTATTAGGCCACTGGTGACAAATGAGGCAGAGAAGCCAGCCGGAAACAGACAACAATGACGGTTTACTACAATACTGATTGTCTCCCCTTAAGCCCTCTGAATCCTAAGCCCACTTTGTTTTCCAAGTTGGAATGCTTCATGGCACTTCCTTCTCTGTGATGTCCTTTTAGGAGAAAAAACTAGGATGCGTGAGGCTGATTCTCCACTACTAAGGTGGGCAGGTTAATTTCATTGTGCAGTTTTTTAAAAAACAACCTAATTTACTTGCTTTATAGGTTGGAAAACAGTTTTAAATATTTATACAACAGTGAAATGTGCCTCACACTATCAACCCTGCTGGGTCATTTGGCATAAACGCTCAAAATTTTTTTCTTTAATACGAATCCAAGTACATGTTGTTCTGGAAAGTTTTCAATTGCAGCATTTTCATCTCTAGCCAGAAGTCAGTCATGTTTCTAATGCCATACTTTTCTGCACTTTATCTAGTTCGATGACAACAGGAGAATCAAGGAAGCCTTCTAAATTGCTTTTTATTTACTTTTATAGGTATGGATTATGCATTGTTTATTTCTCTGGGTATACCTCTCCTTTGGGGCAACAGTGACATTTCTCAGGGGACAGTTTCACGACAAAAGTCCACATGACTGGACCAAAATGGAGACGGAGTATGTGTGGAAACCGTATTGCTACTGAATTACCCTTCAGTCCTCATGGGAAGCGCTTCTGAAGGAAGCTGAGATGACATTATATTTCATCTCCAGCCTCTTACTGCCCCATTACCTTTACCACCCAAATGAAAACACAATGCAAAGCAAAGGAAGGGAACTCTGTGAACCTCTTACATATTTCAAAATGCACATTGGATGGTTAAGTTTGCATAGATATATAGCAATTGCCACTATTTGAGGAAACAAGCCAAAACCTAAGTTTTCTTAACATCCTATTTGATTTTTTCATGCTCTGTGTCATATTTTTGCCCCAGTATAACTAAAGCAACTGAAAGATGTTTATAAAGGTGAGATGACCCTGGGAATTACTTAATACAAGTAATTCAATTACTATACTTGGAGAAACACTGGAACAAAGGCTCTTTCAGAAAAAAGAAATGAAATATATAAAACCCCAGGACATGCAAAGAATCCCTGATATGAAACAATCTTTTATGATAAATAAAAAGTCCTGTTGGGACAAGATAGAGGAGTAGATAAAGCAGAGTAAAATACCCTTCTACATGGAAGATCCTACTGCCCATTCCCCTCCTATTTACCTGCACCCCCAACCTGCACCCTCTACTCTGTAACATTAATGCATCCAAAAGTAGAAAAGTACTGAGTTATTCTTCTGACTATTCCTGCTAAGATCTGATGATTCAACTGCTAATGTCATGTGGAAGGCTAAGAAAGCAGAAAAATATCCATAATACCATGAGTCCAAGCTTCTGACTTTACCTCACTCTAGACAGCTTTCTTTTCATGTCTTGCCACCAGTTTGGCCTCTGCCTGGAATATATACCTGTCATTCTCTCTGAGCTCCTCCATAGTCTCCTTTGTTACTTCCATATCTTCCAGCATCTGCCAGATTCCTGGTCACCTAGCTCTCTCCACCTTTCCTGATGGAAAGGCCTTTCTTAAAAAGAAATGCTACAAATGTTTTGCTTTCAGTCATATGTCCAACCATATTTGAGTTCTTATAAATGTCCCAATGTCACAGATGAATTAGTGATGGGAAGTCCATGGGGATTACAACCGAGATGGAAAAAGGCACAAAATTATGAAAAAAATAAACTATTATAATTAAAAAAAGAGAAAAGTGTCCCAATGTTTGTATCTATAAATTCCATGGGATACAATATCATCTTTATAAGCTATAAGATGTGGAGAACTTTCACCAAGCAACAATGCAGATTAACACAAAATTTCTGAATTTTGGGCAAAATAGCACTGTGAAGGTACATAACTATGGGAGAAATTTCCTCAAAAGAATTATCATCTCAAATTAATTAAAAATCTGGTAAGAAACAGCAAAAGATATTTCCCGTATGTTTACCATGACACACTATCATCAACAGCACTTCATCAATAACTTGCACAACAGACACTCTGATACATCTGTCAAATTTGTGGGCAACACCCTACCAAGAGCACAATTCTTACAAAGTAAGAAATTCACCTATGAGTTAAAATGTTACCAGAAAGTGTAAGAGGAGGAGGATGGGGAAGAAGAAGAGGAAGAGAAAGGAGGAAGGTGATGGATGGGTGGATGG